CCGGATGATAATTTTCATTAAAAAAAAAAAATGACATGATTTAGACACTAATGAACAGTAGTCCCATTATGACATCTGCTCCATCAGCAGCTATTCCTATCAAGTTCGAGATCAAACCTTTAATAGAAAGTTGGACACACAATAGGCAGTATGATAGGAGATGTGAGGTTGTCCTTACTCATTTGAGAATTGGACACACTCGATTGACTCATCAATACCTTTTGAAGGGTGACAATCAACCAGTATGTCAGAACTGCAACTGTACTGTAAGTGTTAAACACATATTTTGCAACTGCGTTGCTTTTGATCAGAGTTGTAGACAGCATTTCGGAAATGCAAGCTGGAGAGAGATTTTGGGCCAGAGGCCAAATCTGGACAATATACTGGACTTTCTGAAAGTTATTAATATGTATGGAGAAATTTGATTATTTAATTATTGTACAGTTTTATTTACTTTGTGTTGATTATTTAAATTATTGTATATATTTTTTGTTGTTGCTTATTTAATTATTTTTTACTTATTTATTTATATTTTATATTTATATTACCATTGGCCTTTTTTTGTTTATATGTATATATGTATATTCCTTATTTATTTTATATTACAAATTGTACCATGTGTCATGGTGCAGTATAGCCTGCATGGCTCTTGTGCCAATAAAAAACTAACCAACCAACCAACCTATCAAGTTTTCTTTATATACAATCTTAGCATCTTCCAATAGTTATACTGTTGTAGAGTGAACTAATTATTCCAGATACAGCTGGAATCAGATTTATGAATTCATCCTTTAAGTTGCCATTTATGTAGTGATTTGCTATCAGAGAAAGATGTTCTGTTCATCCCTTGTCATTGTTTTTATCAGTAACGATAATTTTGTTAGTGTGGAGTGATTCAAGCAGAATACCCTTAATTGCTTTGCCTATAAAATTATTAATAATGGAAGATGTTTAACTGCGGGAAAATTTTTTGCTATTTCTGAATCTATGCACAGACTTTATAAGTTCTGATAAATGTTCCATGTGACATTCATAAGGCTAATGAATTAAACTTGCTGCTTTTTTAATGTCTTTCAATATCAGTCTTCCATCATGACTAATGAGCAAATTACTTTTACAGCATGAAAAATGCAAAGGATTTATCTTCATTACTTTTTATTAACCAATCTTTGAATTTTGGAACGTTTTCTCAGCCCTCACAATAACTGTGTGCATATCTTACTTTCTTTCATTTTGAAGATGCTTCAATATCAACTTTTAAAACATTCTGTATCACTTTCCATCATGTTATAATTCAACAATTAACAACTAAAGACTAAAGAAATAAACATTTCTGTAGTCTTAGTAGTTTTCACCACATATCTCGGTATTTTTCAGTCCATTAAATATTTAATTCGCCAATTAAAAATCAAGCAACACCAATGATATCATCTGAAAACAAACTCTAAACACCTATGAGATACATTCAAAGATTCTATATTGCCAGATTTTTCAAATTGCTTTTGAAGAACCCAATTTTAGAAACTGGCAACAGTGAATTCAGATATATAAATAAATAAATGTTTATAAACATTACTCTCAAAATATTATAAAAAAACCCAGCAGATGTAATGGTATACCAGTACACTGGCAATTATTCCATACTCTCCATTTGTTACTGACTGCTTTGTTATCTATTGACAACAGAAACACAACCAGTTTGCATCAATTGTAACATTTCTCTTACATTCCATCACATACTTTTAACCTGTCCTCAATACCAAAGGCCAGAGAATTACATTTCCTGATGACAGTAAAGCACTATTGGATGACATTGGACAAATTCAACAGGTTCTCGCCTTCCTGCAAAGCATAAACCTATTCTTGATGCTTTGAATTATTGCTGTAAATAATTAAACTAACAAAATCCTTCTGTCATGCCTTAGTATTTCTTGGTCTCATAAGTCCTTGTATACAAAAATCCACAATCAACAGATATATGATATAAGCAAATATTATGACATGGAAAAAATCCAAAAAAGTGATTTCTTTCATAAGTATAAAGATCTTGTATTGTTAGAAGCCATCAAAGTAAATAGGATTCAAGGTCTAGAGTTATCTTAAATTCTGATTTCTTTTGTATAGAAGTAGGAAATGCACAAAAGAGTATCTTTCAATCTTTTAGAAAAATTCAGATTGGAAAAGATATTGTTTTCTCTGATCTGATTTTCAGATTTATGCCATCAGAAGTTTACAAAAAAACAGGCTCCTAATAGCAGGCATTCAGTCGAGATAAGAACGAGAGTTGTCACTACTATTGACAATTGCTGACACACATTATTTATATTTTCAAGAATTTAGGTGAAATAAATGCAAAAGTTTTCTAACTCTGTTAAATTGAATAACAGGACATACTACTATTTGTAGGCAAGTGTTTTTTCATATATTTTATAATTTTTAATATTTTAAATTATGATGAGCCAATGTGTTTTGTAAGAGATGTTAGCAAATTGTTTCCATAACATGCCAGATTATTAAGTTTTTAATATAAACATATTATTTGTTAAAGTTTGAACAATAGTGGAAATAAAATGCATAAAAAGGAATTTTATCTCAATCTCTATTTATTTAAAAAGTTATGAAGTAGATAAAATACTAAAATATTTAGATTTAGAAGTATTCAAATTTTGAAATTGTCATAGTAATTAATGCATTAAATTTTGATAATTGAATTATTACAAATAATTTTAACTGAAATATTTAAATTTGAAACAGCTTTTTATAAATTATTTGAATATTTTATTTTTGTACGGGTAAATCTGTCAATATAAATAAATGGTATGCAAATTTAACTCTTCATTTTGTATTAGTGTAAACCCTTTACTAATTTTTTCTGTGCTTAAACTCATTTTAAAAATTTTAATAAATCATCTATTTTTGAAAGAATTTTGGCAAATATTCAATTTTTGCTGTTTTGTCATCACATATTTATATGGGATCATACTGCACAGTGCCAAAATTGCCACTTGGTGATATTTTTATTAAAGTGTTGATAAAAACCCTAATCTGGTTATTTCTACATTCGGCTTGAAATTGAATCATAAAGCAAGCCTCGGGAAAACCAGCAGAATGTCAAGCTCCCGCACGATGTAAGTTCTGTGCACCAGACACCTAGCGAAGTCATGACACCACATGGCAGCTGTGGGCAGGAAAGCAGGAAGCCACATTGATAACTGATCGATTGCATTATTCCAAATTATTCATTAAAAAATTATTCAAATGTGATTCCTATTTCTAAGTGATAGCTTAACATGTTACTTTTGCTTTCCAGATTCCAAACTGAGAAGGCTACCAGAATCTGCATTAATTAGTAAGTAAAACTGGTAGCGATAAATAATTTGAAGTGGCAAGAAAAAATGTGAAACTGATGAAATGGTTGGCGATTTTTTAAAAAATTTTCCAGAGCAATCTCTGTGTGGAAAATAAACTTTATAATAATTTAGTCCTTTGTATTAGTTTTTTTAATCAGTAAAAATTATGTCAAGTAATTTGGCACAAAAGGTAGATGGAATATCTGAAGTGAGACTTAAACTTATGCTCCTGAAAAGTGGATTACTATTAATGCTATTCAGACTTATAATCATTGCACCATTTACTTTTAATGCCAAATTATTTAATACATAAACTGAATTATAGTATAAAAATAACTTAAAGTTTTGGTCAGTGCTAATTCTGATATTTTTTCCATATTAAAGTTTTATCACTTTAAAACATCTAAAAGTTTCAAGTATATAAAATTTTTACATGTAACTAATTTTTCTTGAAATTTTCAGTCTGTCGATATAATATCAAAACATTCATTCTTCTAGAATTAATGTTTCATTGTGAAAGTGTATTTAAAAAAATATAATAATATTTTTTTGTACTCTTCTTCCTTTGGGAAAAAAATAGTCTCACTTTATTGAAATTGAGTTAATGTTAACTATGATAAGGATGATTCATGATAATTGCCAAAATTTTAAGATGAAGTTTTTGCTATTTATTCTAAGATAAATACAATAGCATTACTGTACTTTGAAAATAAATAAATGAAAATGGATATAAACAAAGACTACGTTGACAAAGTTGTGTAATGAACTATTGATTGCCACTTCATAGGTAAAAGTATAGATCAGGGGTGGCCAACCTTTTTGCATACCATGCACCAATTTTTTGATAGACGAGTTCACATGCGCAGTGGCGTACCGTGAGTGTTAGCAGCCCGGGGCGGAGAAAAATTTCGGCCACCCCTTATTTAGGTATTTCAATTTATAAGATGAAAATTCAGATTTGCCACATAACAAGCAATGAAAAGTGCGGTTGTAGTGTAGCTACCCATATAAAATAGTTCTATGTGACATCAGTGGTGTACATGAACACGAATGCATTGTGTAACATACAAGCAAAAAAAAAAAAAGGTCAACAGGTCTACTGCACCGAATTGTGTAAGAAATACACTTGCCAAGACACACTGTAAAAAATTAATTTCCTATGTAATATTCATAATTGCAATGAAGCCAAATCTGGCAATGTTGCTCAGAACCGACTGAAGCACCACTTGTAGTCGTCCAATGCACCAAGTTTGGCGCATGCACCACGTTTTGGCCACCCCTGGTATAGATGGACTGAAAATGTAACATGAAAAACAATGAATCTGTTTAAAAACATGTAAAAATTGATTTTTGTAATGTGAAATATATGCCTATGGAAAGATATTAGAGCATATAAATTACATTTAAAACATTTACTGTCTTGAGCTACTTCGAGTAGGTGTATATCTTATGATATTTTTTGTTATGGGGAAATTATGGGGAATTTTATTTTTGTAATTAGAGTATATATATTATTTATAAAATTTTAAACTAATCAGTAATATTATTAAAAATTATTTATTGATATATCTAAAATTGAATATGAAACAATGATCGATCTTACAAATTTCTATAACTTATTTAATACAAGTATAAAATCTTATGTTTTAGAATTTATTGGAATTCAGACTGTTAGGAGCATTGTTTTAATACTAATTGGTAAATATTATTCATTGTATTTACATTAAATAGGATTAAATAATGATAAACCATAAAGTTGCTAGTGTAGTTTTTATTTCTAATGAGGAATCGAGTAAAACTTCATATATGGCTCAAACTAAGTTAAACAACTGTGCAGTAAATAATAGCAGATGTTACTTTTTCTATTTCTCTAGGGAAATTGCAACATTTTTTACATTTTCAAAGTCTTTGAAATTAAAATAACAAAAGAATGTCATTTTGGGGCATATTTAATGGCAAATGCAAGCTTTGATATGCAGAATACTTCACAAAAAGCTTTCAGTTTTCAGGATTCTGGATAAAAGACTGTATACTTATATAAATAATATATGCCATATTTACTCACATATAAGACAGCCTCGCATATAGGACAAAATGTGACTTTATAAAGTTCAAAATAAAGAAAATTAGATTTATTAATATAATTCTAATTTTATTTCATTTAATCACAAGTAAAATATCAAATGCACATATTATCCTTCATAGTAATTAATGCATTAAATTTTGATAATTGAATTATTACAAATAATTTTAACTGAAATATTTAAATTTGAAACAGCTTTTTATAAATTATTTGAATATTTTATTTTTGTACGGGTAAATCTGTCAATATAAATAAATGGTATGCAAATTTAACTCTNTAATTTTATTTCATTTAATCACAAGTAAAATATCAAATGCACATATTATCCTGCAAAAATTACTGACATTTTTAACTTTAAGGAAAAATCTTGTAAAATAAACAATGTAATTTGTTCACGTAAAGCTGGACAATTGGAAACCTTTATTTGCCGATTCTTAACAGTCAAATCCACTCACCGTCGATTACACTTAAGAGTTTCTCTGAATTCTGATTTCCAAATAATCATCTGTTTTCACGTGGGAATGGATTAAAACTTATATTGGGCTCCCGTGTGATTTTGAAATTTTAATCTGGAATTCAATTCAAAAGCTTTGCTTTTCCTATTGCTATTCATCTTTACTCCTGACAATATACAAGAATGATTGAAACAACCCAGATAAAATACTTGTTTTTAAATACAAGATGGTAAGCATCCGGTAAAAGGCGGAATCACGGTTCACAATAATTATTTGCAAAAATGCAAAGAATCTTTTGTTTGCACGTATAGGATGACCAAGGAATTTGAAGCTGTGATAAATGAATAAAAATTTAGTCTTATATGCGAGTAAATATGGTAATTGGTCAATTAGTCTGTTATAATTTGTAATATTTCTTAAACAAGGGAGATATAAAGAAGAAAAATTGAATATTTTTTTTCCTTATAAAAATTTATGGTAAGAACTTTGTAAAAATTACATAAGGAACATTGATTTAAAAAAAAAAAAATAAAGTTTTGTTGTTTTCTGTTATCAACATGTTATAACAGTAGCAGTTATTAATATTTAAAACATAACATGCTATTTACTAATATAGGTTTATAAATTAATATTTGTATTAAAACAAGTGAAATAGTTACTTGACGTTAAATATTATAATTCTCGGATAAACGTTGTAATGTGTAAGGGTGCGTCCTATAAATATAAAGGCACAACTTGTTATGCAAATAAAAGCTAAACTACTGTATTTACTCGCATATAAGACAAGGTTTTTATTCATTTATCATAGCTTCAAATTCCTAGGTTGTCCTATATGTGCAAGTGATCTTTCACTTGCATGTATAGGACAACCTATATGTGCCAAACCTTTCTTTGCGTTTTTGCAAATAATTTTTGTGAACCCGTGTATTCACAATTTTTACCAGATGCTTACCCTCTTGTTTTTAAAAACATAAGTATTTTCTCTGGGTCGTTTGAATCGTTCTTGTATATTGTCAGGCGTAAAGATGAATAGCAATATGAAAAGCAAAGCTTTTGAATTGAATTCCAGATTGAAATTTCAAAATCACACGGGAGCCCAATATAAGTTTTAATCCATTCCCATATGAAAACAGATGATTATTCAGAGAAACTTGTAAGTGTAATCGACGGAAAGTGGATTCAACTGTTAAGAATTGGCAAAAAAGGTTCTCGATTGTCCAGCTTTACGTGAACAAATTACGTTGTTGATTTTACAAGATTTTTCCTTAAAGTTAAAAATGCCAGTAATTTTTGCGGGACAATACATACATTTACATTTATTTGATATTTTACTTGTGATTAAATGAAATAAAATTAGAATTGTATTAATAAATCTAATTTTCTTTATTTTGATCTAAAGTCACACCTCGTCCTATATGTGAGTAATACAGTAATTATCACATAACAAAATCAAATTAATTTTGAGGTAGTTACAACTTAACAATTAATAAATTTAAATCAAAATCACATTTCTTGCTGTTCCAAAAATATAAAGGCAGGTTCAATTTTCTAACAATAGAGGTCATACAGTAGTACAGTATAAATGCCAAGTATTTTAAATGTTTATTTCTGTTACGTATTGATGTAAATGAATTGTTTTTCATGATGGGACGTACAAAACCTTTAAGAGATGTTGAAAAAAGCAAGATTTTAGCTTTAAGAGATGAAAATTACTCAGCAAGAGCAATTGTAAAGAAGATTAATCATTCTCCAACTGTAATTGAAAATTTCATAAAGCTTGGAGACAAATACAGACAAAAGAAATCAACAGGTCAACCTTCAAAGCTTACAAATAGAGGAAATCAAAAGCAACCAAACATCTTTACAAAAACTAGCATCAAAACCAAAGCTTAATGTGTCAAAATCTACAATTGGAAGAATTGTTAGTACATATTAGCATCTCATCTATAAGAAGAAAAAGCCTGCACCATCACTAACCCCCATCCATGAGCAAAAGCACTTGCAGTGGGCATGGGAGAAAATGAGATGGACAGATACATGGAAACACATCATCTGGGGTGACAAGAATAAGTTTAATCTTGATGGACTAGATGGTTGTACTTGTTATTGGCGTAATTTGAGGAGTAAGGAAGAAATATATTCAAAACGGCAGCAAGGGGGAGGCTCAGTAAAGGTATGGGGTGAGTTTAGTCAGTTTGGCAGGACAAATATTGCATTCCTCAGTGGCTAAATAAATGCAAATCATTATCAAAACTGCTAGAAAGTTCTTTTGCCTTGGACTAATATAATTGCTGGAAATAGTGGTTTTTCCAACAAGATAATGCCCCTACCCACACAGCTAAATCAACTTATGAGTGGTTTTTAAGTAATGGATTGGTTATTGATTGGCCAGCTCATTCCCCAGATTTGAATCTAATGGAAAATCTTTTAGCTAGAGCTGTATAAGCTAATGGGTGCCAATATAACAGTGTAGATGAGTTAAAATATGCAATTAACATCCATTGGGAAGAAATAACTATAATAGTCTTTCAAAAACATACAATCAATGTCAAACCATGTCTACAAACTTATAATGAAAAAGGGAAAGTGTATTGGTTATTAGTTGACTATTTTTAAAGATTTGTAACAATACTTCCTACTGTTCCAGTGATTTTGTAGTATACCTTTATATTTTGGGACAGTGAGAAATGCGATTTTGATTTAAATTAATTTATTGTTAAGTTGTTAAACAATATAATTACATAATTTTTATTTGTAAGTTGTAACTACTTCAAAATTAAATCGGTTTTGTTATATGATAATTAGTTTAGCTTTTATTTGCATAACAAGATGTGCTTTTATATTTATGGGATGCATCTTACTTTGCTTGTACAGTATGTAGGAAAATAACTGCTTCTTTACATGTAAGTTTTTCATATTTTTTTTGTATATTTTGTTCCAAGTAAGTTTTAAAAATTTGTGACAAGAATATTTTAATTTTGGGATTTAAAATATTTCATCAAAACATATCCAACTTTATTTACAACAATAAAGATTTGCATTACCTAATCTAAATATATAAAATTACTTGTCCTGACTGACTGAATGACTGATTAATCATCGCCCAAAGCAAACCGCTGAACCTAAAGAGGTGAAATTTGGTACATAGTTAGTGTACATCATGAAAACGCACACTAAGAAGGGATTTTTCGAAATTCTCAGGCGGAGGGGAGAGGGAGAGAATTAAGGCTTAACCGGAAGAACAGCTTCTACTATACTATTTTAGATGCGATATTTTGTTTTTATCTGCGTTTTAGTAGGGTATGCCATGGGAATGCACACCAAGAAAGGATTTTTCGAAATTCTCCCACGGGGAGAGGGAGAGGATTAAGGCTTAACCAGAAGAATGGATTCTATTTTATATGCGATTTTTCGTTTTCAACTATGTTTAATTTTCATTGAGTACTTAGATGTATTAAATTGATAAAATTTCAGACATTGTTATAAATATTTTTATATATTTCGATTTTTTAACCAAATATTCAAACCGTTTTAAATTCAAATTTGTTATTACATATTGGTTCGATTATAGAACGGTTTTAAACGTTCCAGAAAATTGATCAAATTGAAAACATTTCGTTTGATTCTTGGCAATTCTCATCATTCTCAGCGGTAGGTGTTATATAACAATTACTATAGTTGTTGGAATACTGAATATAAATGGGGTTTGCTTGCAAAATCCTTGCGGGCAAAGCCGCGGGTAACAGCTAGTTATTTCATATTTTGCTCTTTATTTTTCATCTAATTACTCAGTGTATTTTATTTTTGAGTTACAGATATTTTTAAATAAAAGTGTCACATTTCTATGCATATAACCCTGGGTTATCTCTGTTTATTAGGCCATTTGAAAAGAGGATGAGAGTTGTATCTTTTGGTGGTTTATCGTATTAATTTTTAAATTGCAATTACAAACTTGATCCCATAGTATATGGTGGGGCAGGTTATACAAAGATTTTATTTTTGCTGCAGCAATTTTTTTTATAGGTTGTGCACTTGAAAATACAGTAAATTTCAAAGTTTTTGAATATTGATCCTTATGTGTCTCTAGGATCAAGATTCTAAAATGTTTTGCTTTCCTGGCTGTCATGTATATAACACAGAAAAGTATTGGAATTGTCAAATTTAACTTTGGATATTTTACAAATTTTGATGTTTTGAGAATCCTGAACTCAAAAAAGGGGAGAAAATTGTGTTGGTTTCTATTTTGTTTAATATCTCAGGATTAAGAAGATTAAGAAATGAAGTTTGGAATGGTAACATATATAAGGAGCATTGATGCTATTAAATTTTGGTGGGTAAAGAGCAGGGGTTTGGACTTAAGTTATTGGCATTTACAATATCTTTATCCTCAAAATGAAGCTTTTTTGTCTTTTTATAATAATAACATAAGTTATTTTTAATGATCTCTCGTAACAGATGATGCCATGCACAACTTTGAGCTTGCATTAGTGATAAAAATTTCCATTTGAATAATATATATCATAATTCAACAGAATACTTTTTTTAAGCTTTTGTTATTTAAATTTTATATCCTAGTATGATTGGAAATTATTGGATTATCTGACAGTCTTCTTAACTTCCCATTTGAGTGCCAGAAAAGTCAAGCAAGAGCCCTTGCCAGATTTTTTTAGTATATTAACACATTCTCTGACAATTAAAATACAATTTAAAAATTGCATGGTCTTTATTTTATTGCTTTAAAAAATTATTTATTACCAGAAAGTGTGAACAAGAATTATCTACCTCACTGATTATAAAAAGATGACAAATTTTATTTTTAAACTTTTGGCTGCATTCCAATGAACTTTGTTTATTGCTGATTGGAATTATAAAATCTTATCACCAGTTCATATTTTAGAAAGATCTCAATCAGATAAAAGTTCTTAACTTCTTACATATTATCAGTTGTAAAAATTTTATTTTAACAAAATAAGATAGTGGTAAACTTTAAAAAATGCGAATGATTAATTTACTATGAAAGTTTCAAGAAAAGTTTATAAAATAAAAATAAATTGTATTTAAAAATACACTTTTAATACTTATTTATACTAATCAAACCACCTTACTATTTCCAGCAACGTATTTAATAAATTTAAAAACGTTTTCGACTATATTTAATAGTCTTCATCAGTTAAGAACTTTAAAATGGAAAACGAACGTAAAATAGAATGTAAGCTATACAACGGTTTAAAAAATTAAAATTAATTACGNCGATTAATTTTTATTTTTTAATTTATTTTAATTTAATTTCATTCGTTACCACGATTAATTTCTTAATATTTATTTATTTTTATGTTTTATTTACGTTTTACGTAATTAATTTTAATTTTTTAAACCGTTGTATAGCTTACATTCTATTTTACATTTGTTTTCCGTTTTAAAGTTCTTAACTGATGAAGACTATTAAATATAGTCGAAAACGTTTTTAAGTTTATTAAATACGTTGCTGGAAATAGTAAGGTGGTTTGATTAGTTTAATTACATTCCAGTAAGTTATTTTATTTTATTACTTATTTATAATTGTTGAAGCAATTTTATTATTTTTTTGATATATAATCAAGGTATTATTGTTTTATTCTGTTTAAAATAATAATTTATATTCTATTTTAGCTTTATTAATTAAAAAAATAATACACTTTTTTGTTTTTATCTTTAGATGTTTAGCAAAAAGAAGAAAAAGCCAATTATATCAGCACCTACAAATTTTGAACATAGAGTCCACACTGGGTTTGATAGGAGAGAAGGAAAATTTGTTGGACTACCACCACAATGGGCAAGTTTGATTCAAGCACATCAAAACAGACCAAAGCCTATTGTTGATCCATCTCAGATTACACCAACTGAAATAATGGATATTAAAACACATGTAAGTGATTATGTGAATATCTCAAGATATATTTGCTATATTAATTTACTTATATACAATATACTAATTATGTTTGTTTTTTTTTATAGACAATTGTTCGAGGAAATTCTGGTATAAAACGTGGTCCGATATCTGTCACACGATCAAATTCACTCAGAAAAGATAGTCCGCCTCAAATGAGACGCGACTACTTGAATCGATTCCCTCCCGTAGTGCCTGAAGACAGAAGTACACACGGTGGTCACATGCAGCATCATCCTAATGCGGTAAATTCAAATATAGAATATCAGACAAATAATCATCACCATCCATATTCACAATATCAACATGCACAACCTCAGTTACCAAGAGGTTATCATCCTACTGTTGATTATTGTGGAAATTACACAAAAGATTATATAGATGGTACATCTTCATATCATCCTAACCCACATAGTTCTACAAGTGATATTTGTCATAATCCTACAATGGAGAGGATGGATAATAAAAATCATAGAGCATCAAATCCCTTGCCTGATACTGATTGGGACAGAAATCATAGCAATATGTCTCTCAGCAAGTCAACCATACCATTGTCTCATATTCGTCAAAATATTCAAAATGATCATTACCATCAGCATCAGGGAGTAACAAATTCATCACAAATGTCATATGGTGTGAACGGAACTAGAGGAACTTCTAAAAATCAAGATTCACAATCATCAAGAGGCATTCCTCCTAAACCTATACACGACACATCGTCGAGTAATGTGCCCATTGGTCCAAAAATACAGCAAGCTCATCCGATTAATGTCCATGGAAATAAAGGGCATCTTCATGGACATGAAACAACTAATGAACTAACACAGGTAAAGCTGTAAAATTAAATAAATAACAGAAATTTTTAAAATTATTTCTGTAATTTATCAATATTTGAATATAACAATACTTTTAGATCATGATACAGTGGTACCTCAGGATACGAATGCCCCAGCATACAAAATTTTCAGGATACGACATGAAATTCAAACATATTTTTGCTCCACGATACGAGCAAAAATTCGCCATGTAATGTTACATTAGTTTGCAGCGCCATTTTTTATTCACTTCTGTTCATCGGTCTCAGTCTGTGTGTTTGCTTCGTCATGGAAGGATCTCACTCGATAAAGGAAATCTTGAGGTATTATCAGAAAGTGACTGATTTTATTGAAAAGAAACATCCCAAAAAGATTCACACTAGCTGTATTGCTGCTCAGAGTAATGACATTTGCCTAAGTCATTTTAGAAACATTTTAAAAAGTAGGCAAAGCCAAACCTCTTTGGATAGATATTTTACCAAGCAACCT